CTGGCATGATAACAAAATGACCTACATTCATTCAGCCCTTTAAATAAAAGCATGCTGTAACTTTACCTCTATACAAGAGACACATTTTCTGATCTCAAAGATTTTTGTTGTTGTTGTTAAGTACAAAGCTACATAATAAGCTGTGTTCTGACCACCACAGTTATCGAAAAACAATTTTTAGAGTCATAAGGCTGCAGACTTGCTGCTTAGCCACTGGGTGTAATCTCAAAAAACATTCATATATTTTTAGCACGAAGAGAGTGTTTCAGTAACTTGAAGCCAAGAAACAGATTTCTCAACAAGAGCTTACTGGTGGTGAGTTTTAAATTAAAATATCTCCAATTACTTTTTGTGAACTTCAACATAACCTAAAATATATTTTTCTATAGACACAATACCTAATGGAGAGAGAGAAAACTTGTTACACGATATTTAAAAAACCAGTGCTTACACTTTAGTCTCACTTGATCAGCTGTAGCCACTGGAACACGATTACACACATGTGGCTCCGATGTGGCTGTATTCCTCTACAAAACTAAAAATTACCCCCCTCCCCGACCTATAGTGATAAAACCATATCAAGTAATTCCTTAGCTGTAGCTACTGGAACACGATTACACACATGTGGCTCCGATGTGGCTGTATTCCTCTACAAAACTAAAAATTACCCCCTCCCCCGACCTATAGTGATAAAACCATATCAAGTAATTCCTTAGCTGTAGCCAGTAGGATAATAAAAATCAGTAGAATTTAGTTTCTGAGAAGTTCTGAAGAACTGGACATGATCTTAACCCCTTGATTTCTAGGTTATACTAATTTTTTCTATCCAAGTGGGACCTTAGAAAAAAGAAATACATTTCAACATGCATTTACAAAGGTTGAGCACATGTTGTGTAAGAGGTTAAAGCGGAAGTCATCATAAGAGTAAGGAAAATAGGAATGGTGGGTTGATAAAGTAAAATATGAAAACCATATTGAAATAAGTTATTACTGAAAGATCTTACCTTGACCAACCTTTAGCTAACTCTGCCCAGTCTACATGGCTTTCATCTGTAGCACCAAGACCATATACTCTAATAGAGAAACAATCATTACCTGTTAGTGACCAGAAATAATGATGCATCGAGAAAGATAAAAAACGTGTTAAAAATTGCTATGCATATAACGAAATAAGGTGATTATTCTCGTAAATAGCAATCGCATCTAAAAACGTAAACTAACAGACCTACTCCACAGATGGTCATGGACCACTTCACCATTACGTTCAAACGTTTGGTAACTATAGCAACAAGAATTCACTGAAAAATCCTTTTCCTTGAAGATATTGCAATAATTTCAACATTATGCTAATCAGTTACAAAAAGTATCCTATTGAATGAATGTTATAATGAGTTTGAATTAATCTAAACTATATCAACTCATGCTGAACTCTTAAGAATAAGTAAATTGTCTATCTGAAAATTACATCAAAATAATTACAAACAAATAAATGTCACCGTTAAATTTAAGTACTACTAAAATTCTGATGTGCATCTCAAACAACATTAAATGATATAGTGAATTATGGAGTGGTCAGGCCATTGCCACATTGCCATTTCCAGGGAGGATCTGGGAGCAAGCTCCAATGCTATGAAATTGAATCTTGAGCTATTTTAACTACAAATACTGACTACATAATATATTGAATTAAAAGAAGCAAGTTTTAATACATAAGTTGTAGCTATACATGCCATGAAAATATGGTCAGGCCATGGCCTGAAAGGCCTTACCACTTCCCACGACCCTGATCTGTGTCAAATTCCATTCATATCCTATAATTTGGCTGTATGTATGTATTCACAACTATCTGCAGTCAACATAAAATTCACGACAAACAGAGACTATAAATCTGAGAAAAACTTTGTATTTTAAGGTATTTCAGTGATAATTGTTGTCCTCTACAGCTTCAGGTGTTAATTATCCTTCAAATATAGTCTTGTTTCTGTTTGTATTGGATACTTGAACATATAGAAATCTCTGAGTGTTTATAAAATAAGTATTCAAATACAATCAATATTTCCATTCAATTAAAACCTATACTTCACACATACAGAAATAAATGAATTACTGAATATTTCATTTTTTTCAGTTTTATTTTACAGAAATATATGGTGTTTTGGTTTAATACAAATTCAATATTCCATATAAAATTCATGACTTCAATAAACAATGTTTTTTTTTAGAATAAATTATGGGGATGGGCCAAGTGACCGACCATGTAACCACAAAGCAACCATCAGTTTCTATACTGTAACATTTAATATGGTATGTGTAACGTCACAAAATTTTACAAGCTTTCAAGAAAAATTACAAGTCTTTTGTATATGAAAAATCAGATTTTTTTAATGAAGTATTTTTACTAAAGGTTTGTCCACGAATACATGGAATCAGAGTGTTAACCTCTCCGAGTGCAAAGCGATTTTCATGATAAGATTAAAAATACTTTTCTTCATTTGAAAATTTTCAAATTTCAATGTTGTAACCTCTAAAAACTTCATAAATAATTATCAAACGTTTTTTTTTCTCAGTAAAACTTCATATTTTATCTGTTATTTTCTCTAACCTAACTTTATATGGACTCCGTCCATTTGATTGACTTTGTAACCACCATAAGAAAATGAAATACCTTTTTTTTTCCTCACTAAAATGACTGTAGATTGTAACAGAAAACTGTAACTGTTTATCCTAATAGTTTAAGGCTCATAACAGTCTACATCTGTTTATAGTTAATTTTATTTAATTTTTTATTGCCCTTTGAACTATGTCTAACTAACAATACCACCACACAAGTTGTAAGTCACTCGGCAAATGCATAACTCATGTTACCGTATTCTGATGATGAATTTTTATTATTATTTTCTTTTTCCATTATCTAACCTATTAAGTTTCTAATTTTTACATTTTAGTTACTTATATAATAATAATAAAGAACATACACTAAAAACAAGAAATACAGTACTTACCTTTGACCTCTCCTATTTTTTGTTGCCGATGGAATTTAAGCCTACTTCTTTAGAGACATGGTACTAGTACACTAAACAATTGGCTACTTAAGTAATAAACCTAAGAACACAGAATAACAATGAAGAAAGAGCTACAGAACAAATGTTACAATTCTCATACTAGAAAAGATTGAAGATATATGTATAAAATATTTATTTATAAAATTAAGAGCTTGAAACTAAAATAATATTAAAATTTGATTTATTAACTATGTTTATATGCCAAGTTTATTTCTATAAATCGACAATAAAGAGTTTAATTAAATTTTGAATGTAACTCTATAAAAGGACATGATATGCTTGTACTGATCTACCTGTAGTGAGAGGGTTAAGAACAATGTACAGTGACTGTGAAAGGCCTAACAGTATCACAATAATACTTAGATCAGGGCCTAAAGATCATGAATGTAATGCCAAACAATACCTGCAAATAAGAGTCATGTCATCTTCCTTAGTCCATTCCACACCTCCAGCTTCTTTCCAGTTAAGGTAATTCAGCCACTTGGTGCGACACTGTTTCTCAGATCGGGTACCAACTCTCTCTGCAACAGCAGCCCAAGACAGTCCTGAAGAGATCATCTCCCCAGGGAAAGCATTCGATAACTCATACACGGAATCTGCAAGCCGCTTCTCTTCTGCTGGAAGCCACTTTCCTAAACTCAAAATCAAATTACTCACGTGACTACAGAAATAGAACTTTTACATGTAAATGTGTTATTAACCTCTTACTTCACAACAAAACACCACCAGTTTCTGTACATCACCTCTATGTTAATGGTTAGTAATCTGTACAATCACCAAAGTATGATTAATAATTAGTTAATTTATATTTTTATAAGTAGCTACTAATTAGTAACTAGTTTTAATCCTACATTTCAGTTTCTAGTCTGCTGTAGTTATCAGACAAGTCCCGAGAATGACCACGGCCGGGATTCAATCTCGATTCTTCTTGATGCTAAGGCTGGTGAACTATCTATCGTCAAGACAAATCCAAGCTAAGATGGTACATAAGATAAAGTGTCTTGTTCGAGGATACAACATGTCACAAGCAGGCACTGAACTCGCAAACTTCCAACCACAAAGCACTAGCCACTGTGCTACACTACCCCCTTCATTCATACAGAATTTCCCCCCAATAGGACTTGTATTAACCACCTTATTTGAATTTTGAACTGAGTGTCATGAAGTGGTTATCAGTTTGGTAGGTGTAGAAGGCTTTTTTTAAATTTTTTTTATTATGTGTGGTTTATATCCCATTATTTCATTCTTCATACAACATGAGAAGATATTACCGTTAAATTGTTATTACAGTTTTGTGTATCTATTATGCTCCTAAATTCTAACTTTTTTTGCTGAATTTCTCCAATGTATTGGGATCCACATTCACAAGGGATGTTTTACAAGGTTTTTTTTCCTCCCCATTAGGTGTGTACTAACTGCAGTCGTATTGTGTTCTGCTTTTCTTTTTTATACATCCTCTGCACGTTTTCAGAGAGAGACCTCTGACACAGGGGAATATGGCTATAAATATGTCTTTAAACTTTTTCCAGCTCAATCTTGGTGTTTTTTCTTTATCATGTGCTCAGGTTATCCATTGGCAGCGATGTTTGCAATGATGAATTTTTCTTTTTTCAACTCTTTCAACACAGACTCGGTCGAATCGACCAAGTTCGTAACCATTCTGTACTCATTACAGTTTCCATACTATAACTTTTAGTACAGTATGTGTATCTTCACAAAATCTGGGAGACTTTCAGTAAACATTAAGGGACTTTTGTACACAAAAATTAGATTTTTTAATTAAGTATTTTTAATAAAGGTTTGTCTGTGAATAAATTGAGTAGTTTTGTTTACTAGTACGAGTACAAAGTGATTTTTTATCTGTTGGATTCTCTACCCTAACTCTATATACTAGGTTGGTCAATTTGACTGACCACCAAAAGAAAAAAAAAGAAAAACCTTCTAAAATGACTTCAAATTGTAACTGTATCAAAATCAATATTCACACATAAAATTTGGAAATCAATTGGGGAATGTGAAGCTCCTATTACCCTATCAAAATACATAATGCACATGCTACTCGTGAGTGTACATCATAAAAAATTATCAGCATTTTACCTAATATAACCTAAAAAATGTTTAATTTTTTACATTTTAGTTAATTTTATAATACTAAATAAACAATACACACGATAAAACAGAAAATAAAGTACCTACCTGGGTCTTCTTTTTTTTACTGTCGACTGTCAATGATACTTAATCCTTTTTTTTTTATACTAATTGTACCACTGCACTAAATATTTTATTTACTTAAATAATGCACCAAAGAACAAGAATAATAACATGCAAAAATCTGACAATGTCCCATAACGATTACAATTTTTCCGGCTTTCTAACTATGCAACATGAGCCTTTAAAAATTCAGCTATGCTCATTGATGTGTTTCCTGTGTTTGAACTGGAAGCAAGATGGACAATGTTCTGCACAGAAAACAGCATAATATAATGTCATTTGATAGATTAAAACCTTGGCTTTCTATTGGTTATAAATAATATAGTATTAAACGACAAAGAAAACTATTGGCAATTTCTGAAAGAGAGTATGTGACAGGTGGGTGTGGCAAGAGGGGTCTGATTTTCCATTTGATGGTTATCTAACCAAATAAGATTGAAAGCTGTAAAAATTATGCTTTGCCTGAGCAATGACAACATTATAATGAGTAATTTACATTAAACTTCACACTTTTTGGAGGGGTGGTAAATAAATTAGAGAAGAGAGCAAATGTTACAATTTCCAAAACAGGGGAAGGGACGATTTTTTTTTGCATTTCCTTATAACATGAAGAACTTAAAACATATATAATGTTAAAATCTGGATTCTTAGCCGTGTTTTTACACCAAATTTATTTATATACCAGGATAAGAAAGTAGTTTAATTACATTCTAAGTGTAACTCACTAAAATCTCCTGACACACACACACACAAAATGATGCCCATTCTGAGAGAGTTAACAGCTTCTATATTGGAAATCTTGATCATTCTGAAAACTAAGCAGTCTACAATGCCCATCTCTATTCTGTCGGGGTGATTTGATTTATATTTTAGACGTATCTCCAGATTTACTGTAATCTGCTGCCGTACACAACCAGGTTCACTGTAACTTGCTGCCGTACACAACCAGGTTCACTGTAATCTACTCGAGTACACAACCAGGTTTACTGTAACCTGCTGCAGTACACAACCAGGTTTACTGTAACCTGCTGCAGTACACAACCAGGTTTACTGTAACCTGCTGCAGTACACAACCAGGTTTACTG